TAGCCAAGCACACAAACATACTACCATAACCAACATCAAAATAAAAGATTGTAACAGTTACTGGTCATTAATCTCTCTCAACATCAATGGACTCAACTCCAATAAAAAGACACAGACTAACAGAATGGATGTGTAAAGAAGACCCAACAATCTGATGCATACAAGAAACACACCTCGATCACAAAGATAGACATTACCTGAGAGTAAAGGGCTGGAAGACAGTTTTCCAAGCAAACAGACCCGTGAAGCAAGCAGGAATAGCTATTCCAATATCTAATAAAATGGACTTTCAACTAAAATTAATCAAAGAAAATGGGGAAGTTCGCTTCATACTCATCACAAAGAAGACATCTCAATTCTGAACATATATTCCCCAAATACAAAGGCACCCATATTTGTGAAAGAAACATTAATAAAATTTAAACCACACATAGATCCCCACACATTAATGGCGGGAGACTTCAACATCCTACTCACATCAAAGGACAGGTCAACAAAACAGAAACTAAAAAAGAAAAAAAATGACACTAACAAATAAAAATCAAATGGACCTAACAGACATTTACAGAACTTTTCACCCAAACTCAAAAGAATTTACAGTGTTCTCAGTACTTCTCTGAACCTTTTCCAAAGTAAACCTTATAGTTGGTCACAAAGAAAGCCTCAACAGATATAAGATGGAAAAATAATCCCTTGTATCCTAGCAGACCACCAAGAACTAAAACTGGACCTCAACAACAACAGAAATAGCAAAAAAGCCTACAAACACGGAAAGTGAGCAACTCTCTACTCAATGTCAGCTGGATCAGAGAAGAAATAAAGATATTAAGGGATTCCTAGAATTCAATTAAAATGAAGGTACAACATACCCAAAGTTATGGGACACAATGAAATCAGTGCTAAAAGGAAAGTACATAGCACTAAGTGACTTCATAAAGAAATATGAAACATTTCATACAAACAACTTAACAGCTCACCTGAATGCCCTAAGAAAAAAGATCGCTGGAAATAATCACACTCAGGGCTGAAATCAATAAACTAGAAACAAATAGAACAATTCAAAAATCAATGAAACCAAGAGCTGGCTATATGAGAAGATCAACAAGATATTTCTTTGTGAAAATCAACAACCTATAGCCAAACTAATCAAAAGTTAGAGAGACCTATTCAATCAACAAAATCAGAAATGAAAGCAGACACTGGGGAAATCCAAACAATCGTTAGGTCTTACTTCAAAAGCCTAGTAGCAACAAATTTTGAAAATCTAAGTGAAATGGAAAATTTTTCTTGATTAACTCCATTTACCAAAGCTGAAACAAGATCAGTTAAATAAATTAAATAGTCCTTATAGCCCCTAAGGAAAAATAAGCAATCATCAAAAGTCCCCATAAAAAAAAAGCCCAGAGACAGATGGTTTCAGCACAGAATTCTATCAGACCTTCAAAGAAGAGCTAACATCAATACTCTTCAAACTATTCCACAAAATAGAAACAGAAGGAACATCACCAAACTCATTCTATGAAGCCACAGTCATCTAGATACCTAAACCTCATAAAGACCCAACAAAGAAAGAGGATTTCTTAATCTCCTTTATGAATATTGATGTAAAAATACTCAACAAAATACTCAAAAACCAAGTGCAAAAACACATAAAAGTTATCATCCACTGTGATCCAGTAGTCTTCCTCCCAGGTATGCAGGAGTGAAATCCATTGATATAATTCACAAATTGAAAGAATAAAGCCATATGATCATCTCTTTAGATGCTGACAAAACAATTGATAAAATCCAACATCCCTTCATGTTTAAAGTCTTGGAGAGATGAAGGATAAAAGGCACATACCTAAACAGAGTAATTGCAAAATACAGACAACCTCAAAAAAGGGGGGGGTAAAATTAAATCAATTCCACTGAAATCAGGGATAGGGCAAGGCTGCCCACTCTCTCCATATCACTTTGACATAGTACTTGAAGTCCTTGCTAGAGCAATAAGACAACTAAAAGAGATCAAGGGAATTCAAATTGTAAATGAAGATGTCAATTTGTAAATCACTATTTACAAATGATACAATGGTAATACACACAAGTGTTCTGAAAAATTATACCAGGGAACTCCTACAACTGATACACACCTTCAGCAAAGTGGCTGGATACAAAATTAACTAAAAAAAAAAAAAAATCAGTAGCCCTCTTGTATACAGAAGATAAATGGGATGAGAAAGAAATTAGGGAAACAATACCCTTCACATTAGTCACAAAAATCATAAAGTATCTTGGTGTAACTCTAACCAAGGAAGTAAATGAATTAGATGAAAAAAAACTTCAAGCCTTTGAAGAAAGAAAGTGAAGAAGATATCAGAAGATGGAAAGATCTTCCATGCTCATGGCTTGGTATGAATAACATAGTAAAAATGGCCATTGTACCTAAAGCAATCTACAGATTCAATGCAATTCCTATCAAATTACCAACACAATTATTTATAGACGTTCAGAGAAAAATTTTCAACTTTATATGGAAAAACAGAAAATCCAGAATAACTAAAACAATCCCATACAATAAAAGATCTTCTGGAGGTATCTCCATCCCTGATCTCAAGCTGTAGTATAAACCAACAGTAATTAAAACTGCATGGTACTGGCATAGAAACAGAATGACGGATCAATGAAATAAAATCAAAGACTCAGAAATAAACCCACATATCTACAGGTACTTGATTTTTTGACAAATATGTCAAAACCATACAATGGAAAAAAAGATAACATTTTCAACAAATGGTGCTTGTCTAACTGGATGTCCACATGTAGAAAAATGAAAATAGTCCTGTATCTTTCACTCTGCACAAAAGTAAAGTACAAGTGGATCAAAGACCTCAACATAAAACCAGACACACTAAATCTGTTGGAAGAAAAAGTGAGGAAGAGCCTTGAGTTCATTGCACAGGAGACAACTTTCTGAACAGAACACCAACTGTTTAGGCTCTAAGATCAACAATTAATAAATGAGACCTGTAAAGCAAAGGACATGGGCAACAGAACAAAACTACAGCCTTAACTACTGGGAAAAGATCTCCAAACCTACATTCGATAGAGGGCTAATATCTAGAATATATAAAAAACTAAAGAAGTTAAACACCAACAAACCAAGTAATTCAATTTAAAAATGGGGTACAGAGCTAAGCAGAGAATTCTCAACAGAGGAATATCAAATATCATAGAAACACTTATAAAAAATGCTCAATGCCCTTAGTTATTTGTGAAATGCAAATTTAAAGAACCCTGAGATTCCATCTTACACCAATCAGAAAGGCTAAGATAAAAAACTTAAGTGACAGCACAAGCTAAGAGAATATGAAGAATGGAAAATACTCCTTCATTGCTGATGGGAGAGAAAACTTGTACAACCACTTTGGAAATCAATCTGCCGCCTTCCCAGAAAATTGGCAATAGCACTACCTCAAGATCCAGCTATATCACTTCTGGGCATATACTCAAAAGATACCCCACCGTTCAATAAGGACATTTTTGCTCAGCTATGTTCATAGCAGCTTTGTTTGTAATAGCCAGAATCTGGGAACAACCTAGATGTCCCTCAGTTGAAGAATGGATACAGAAATTGTGGTACATTTATACAATGGAATACTACTCAGCTATTAGAAACAAGGAAATCATGAAATTTGCAGGCAAATGGTGAGAACTAGAAAAGATCATCCTGAGTGAGGTAACCCAGAAACAGATAGACATACATGGTATACATTCACTTATAAGCAGATATTAGCCCTATAGTATAGGATAGCAGTACTAAAATCTACAGACCAAAAGAAGTTAAACAACAAGTAGACCCTAGGGAGGATTCTTAAATCTCATTCAGAATGTCAAACAAGATTGACACCAGAAGCGGTGGAAGAGAGGAAACAGGGTGGCAGTCTACTATAGAGAGTCCTCTAAAAGGCTCCAGATCAAAGCAGATGCTCAGACTCACAGCTAAACTTTAGGCAGAGTGCAGGTAGTCTTATCAAAAAGGGTGAGGGACAGAAGGGCACAGAGGAGACAGGAACCCCACAAGGAGACCAGCAAAGCTAAAACATCCAAGCCTAGGGGTTCCTGCAAAAACTGATTCACCAACCAAGGACCATACATGGAGAGGACCTAGACTCCCTGGAGAAGATGGTATCTTAATTGGTATCTTAATCTCCATGTGGGTTCCTGAATAAGAGGAGCAGGGGCTGCCTCTGTCATGAACTCGACTGTCTGCTCTTTGATCACTTGCCTCTGGGGATGAGGTCTTGCCAGGCCACAGTGGAAGAGGATCCAGGCAGTCCTGATGAGACTTGATAAGCCATGGGCAGATGGCAGAGGAGAACTCCCCCTTCCTGTGGACTAGGAGAAACGGATAAGGGGAAGAGAGAGGAAGGGTGGGACTGAGAGGAGATGAGTGAGGGGGCTTTAATTAAGATATACAATGAATAAATTGGAAAAAGTAATAAAAAGAGAAAAAGAAGAAGGAGGTGGTTCTTAGAGGTGTTAGGAGAAGGAGTCGGGTGAGTAGGATCAAAATACAATGCATACAATTTTTAAAGAATTAGTAAAAATATTTTAAATTAAATGGATGTAATAAAAGAATGGAAAATCAATCTGTCTAGAGCTGGGGATGTGGCTCAGTGATAAGATTCTTTCCTCTAGCATGTGCAAACCTATGTACTATTTCTAGCACTACAAAAAGAAAAATAAAAAACAGCATCATTAATCTGCATAATATAGAAACCAAATGCCATAGTGAGTGCTTTAAAAAGTAAGATTTTTTCTGAAAAGAAAATGAATTCATTTCTTTAAACTAGGAAAATAAGTTTGTTTGTTTGTTTTAATTTTAGAAAGAAGGCCAAGGAGCATTGTGAAGAAGCAGTGAGAGTGACTCCTGGACAAGCCGAAGCCTCCGCCTGTATCTCCACCCCCGGATCCTCACTCCCACCCTGCGTCCAGCACCATTCTCCCCCATGGTTACCATGCCCAAAAGAAAGACCAAAGGGGATGCTAAAGGAGATAAAGGCAAGGTGAAGATGGAGCTGCAGAAAAGATCTGCAAGGTTATCTGTTAAACCTGCTCCTCCAAAGGCAGAGCCCAAGCCTCAAAAGGCCCCTGCAAAGAAGGGAGAGAAGGGGAAGAAGGGGAAGAAGGGGAAAGCCGATGCCAGTAAGGATGCAAATAATCCTGCAGGAAATGGAGCAGCCAAAACAGACCAGGCACAAAAAGCTGAAGGTGCTGGAGATGCCAAGTGAAGTGTGTGCATTTTTAATAACTGTGTACTTCTGGTGACTGTACAGTTTGAAATACTATTTTTTTATCGTTTTATAAAAATGCAGAATTTTGTTTTACTGTTTTGTTGTTGTTGTTGTTGTTTTGTTTGTTTGTTTTAAGCTATGGTGTTAGCATATAGAGCACTTCATTGACTGGGGGAAAGAACACGGGCCACTAACAAAATGTCTCCAAAGCTGGATTGAATATGGAAAACGTTTTTCTCTGATAATTGTGAAAGATCCTGTTGGCTCCCAGAAGGCATGCTGTAGTGTTAATATAAGTGGTCATCATGGCACAAAATGTCTTGTTGGTATGGAAAAATTCTAAATTCATTTTTGTATCCTCGTCCCCCTGTACCATCAACATCTATTTAACTCCCATAAAACCAGAGACCTTTTGGAACGTGATCCCCAAAAGATTACTGGTTCCTCTTATAAAAAAAAAAAAAAAGAAAGAAAGAAAATTGTGGAACTTCAGATTGATAATTTTGCTATTTTCATTTCATTTCCTGAAAGTCAGGATCTGCTGTGAAAAGTTGTTAAACAACATTCTTTACTATTCCAATGTTTTTAGTATGTGTGCTCTGGAAGCAAGCATGTAAACAACATTCTTTTTTTTAAATTTTCTTTTCTTTTATTATTAGTTACATTTTAGTAACTCTGTATCCCAGCTGTATCCCGCTCCCTCATTCCCTCCCAATCCTACCTTCCCTTCCTCATCTCCTCCCTGCCCCTTTCCAAGTCCACTGATTGGGGAGGACCTCCTCCCCTTTCATCTGACCCTGTTTTATCAGGTATCTTCAGGGCTGGCTGCAAAGTCCTCCTCTGTGGCCTAGCAGGACTGCTCCTCCCTTGGGGGGTGGGGAGGTCAAAGAGCCTGCCATTGAGTTCCTGTCAGAAATAGTCCCTGTTCCCCTTACTATGGGAAACCAATTGGTTACTGAGCTACCACGGGCTACATCCGAGCAGAGGTTATATCTATACATGGTCCTTGGTGGAGTGTCAGTCTCAGAAAAGACCCTGTGCCCAGATATATTTGGTCCTTGTGGAGCTCCTATCCTTTCCACGTCATACTAACTCCCCCTTCTTTCATAGGATTCCTTGCACTCTGCCGAAGGTTTGGTTATGAGTCTTAGTATCTGCTTTGATATACTGCTAGGTGGAGTCTTTCAGAGGCCCTCTGTGGTAGGCTCCTGTCCTGTTACTTGTTTTCTCTTACATCCAATGCACATCCGATTTGTCTTTCTAACACAGATGTCCATCAACAGAGGAATGGATACAAAAATTGTAGTAATTTTACACAATGGAATGAATACTACTCAGCAATCAAAAATGAGGAAACCATGAAATTTGCAGGCAAATGGTGGGATCTAGAAAAGACCATTCTGAGTGAGGTATCCCAGAAGGAGAAAGACATACATGGTATATACTCACTCAAATAGACTTATAAGATATGATAAACATAATGAAATCTATACACCTAAAGAAGATAAACAAGAAAGAAAACCTGGGGTATGATGAACAACATTCTTAATGTGAAAAGTCAGTCTCCACTCTAAGCTGCTTCCCCCTCTTCAAAGCACTGAATGAAGATTTTATTGGATTTTATAGAGGCTTTCTGATTTTGATAGTCTATACAAGAAGGAAGTTTGGAAGTTCTTGTGTACTGTTAATGACTGCCTGCCCATGCCCTGCCTGAAATACCATGATTGTTTATAGAAAGTATCTTTAATAAAGCTGGATATGTTTTTTTTAAGGCCATTATTGAGAGAACAGAGAGGGAACAGGTCCTTGTCAGGGAATTTCCACAATGCAAGCTTGGTCTGGAATGCTTTCCATAAAGAAAATAGTGGCCCTTTTCTAGGGAAACCCTGAGCAGCACAGAACAATCTAACTGAGGGAGGCCAATCAAAATTAATCATGACCACAGAGCTGTCAGCCTCTAAGGTCAAGGAAGCTCTAACCAGGATTAAACACTGGCCAATCAGCACTGCCTTCATTTGCATGACAGGAATTTCATACTGTGTCAGCCAAACTGAAAAGGGCATATAGCTCCCAAATAAAAGCCACCACAGCCAAAGTCTAGAACAGGCATTCATTCTCCTGTTCCTCTTGCCTGATCCTCCCTTCAAGTGTACTAAATAAATTCACCTTTTCTACTTTGATCTGACATGGTTGAATTCATTCACTGCTCTTGAGTCCACATTTACTGCATGTTAGATTCAGGACAATAATACTACCATATATTAAGCAACAGTGACACTTGTTAACTTTTTTTTTTTTTTACACAAATCTGGTATAACTGATAGCTTAGAGGTGTATACATGTACTCCTAGTTACTTAAGCAGAGGATAGAGGAGTAAAACTGTCAAAGCCAGCCAGGGCTACACAGAAAGACCTTGTCTCAAACATAAAATAAAAATTCAAAATGACCAAGAATGTAGCTCAACAGTAAAGTGCTTGTCTGGCATATGCATACTGTCCTGGGTTTAATGGGCAGCATCAGATGTTGTGTAGCCCATCAGTCACAGCTGACTTTCATGCACAACCATAAATATCTCTACCACATTCATACTCCAGCTTTGCCAGTGGCTTTAGCCATTCACCACCATCACCATCCATTTTTATCGATGCTTCACATTAGCAAGCTTGGCAATTTCTGTCTAAACGCTATTTGCACTGCAACACTACACATTTTACAACATACACTTTTGAGCAACATAGTTACTTGCCAAACTTCTTTCTGAGACTATGAATCCTTAATGGAGAATATTTGGCTTACTTATTTTTTCCCATCAATGACTGTCATAAAATAGGTACCAATTTATATTAGCTGAATGTGATTGATGGCTTTTCATTTAAGATCTTCATCTTCAAATAGTGACTAGCAAAGAGCCTAGCATGATGTTTAATTGGAGACAGACTTTATTAGGTAATAAGTTTCTTACTACACTTTCAAAATACACTGCTGACTTTGGCTTTCATATCCAATTTATGGGTATTTGCACAATAAATATTTGAACTGCAAGTATTCGCTAATATTAATGATCAACATCTTTACTGCCATAAAGTAAGTAGCAAATAGTAATCATTGAACTGAATGTTGTTTTATTTAAGATCATCATCTTCAATATTGCTAGAATCATAGCATAAGTAACACCACAATTAGATCATTAACAAGATCAGAAAGAACATACAGATGCAAATTTGGGTGCTTGTAGAATGTTTTGTGAGTGTTATTTTGGCTGAGAAATTGAGATTCAAGTAAAACAAAATATTTATAACATTTACGTTGAATTTTTTAATAACTAGCTATAACCTTCTTCTTATCTCCCTCTATCTCTCTATCACTCTCTCAGTCCCTCTCTTCTTTTCTGGGGATTGTCTAGCTTTTTGGCTTGTTTACTGACACTTGCCTCTTCAGAAGGCAGCCTTCAATGCAGAGCCCTCGAACAGCCAATTCAGTGGTCTCATTTAGAAAGCCCCCTCTAAACAAATTTGGGAAGATGCAAGACAACTGCTTCTTGGCCTTTTGGCTAAGATCAAGTACAGAAAGATGCAAGATGATTCTTTCTCATTCCCTTAGAATTTACATGAATGTGAAAAGCAAATGAACCCTGTTTTTAAAAAGCTAGAAAAGCAAAATGTCACAAAAAGAACAACTCAAACACAGTTTAGGCTAATGAAGGAGCTGCATTCCTTCACTGTTTGTTCTGGGAACTTTTCAATCACTTTGAACTGGGAAAGCTTCAGAACAAAGACAGTAATTACCAAATAAAAATTGCCTTTGGTGCACTGTCTGTGTTCACAGTTTGGCATGAACGGATTTATGATCCTTTCATTCCAACAAGAACTACAAGTCTGCCTTTCACTTCAATAGCCTATTCATCTCAGCATAAAAACAGCTAAAATACACTAGGAGAATATGCTGCCTCTGCAGCCAGGCGTGCAGACAACAGGAGTCAGCTTCTTCCATCAACCCCAAATATAGCTGGCTTTGAGGAACTACAAGACAAAGGCTCGAAAAAAAAAAAAAACACTTACATAATTTTTGAAAAACAGCAATTATTTAGTTCCAGTTCCTTTGACTACTCTCTATCTTTATCCAAAATTAAATTAATTCTGTTGTGTACAACATGGCCAAAAATGTAGATTACCATAGGCAAGTTGGGCTTGAATAATTATTTATGGCAGCTATTCAAATACATAGATTGGTAATTTTTATTCCTTGGAAGGCAATGTTAGAGAGTGCTGTTTTTGTTTGGCTTCATGAAGTTAAAGCATAAAGAAGCACTTTAAGAGAAACAAGCTAATTGGAGGTTGGAGGCAGTTCACTTGACTCCCAACAAAATCAGCAAAATATTCTTTTCTCACCCCGATCCCATACTTGAAGTAAATGTGTATACTCATGCAATCATAAAATAACTTTCATAGAGTATGAATTCATAAAAGAAGTCTCTAGAGAATATAGACCCTCATGGAAAACTGTACACATGTTAAAACATATGAAAAAAAATTCCAACACAACAGTTTCCAACCACAGTTTTTCCATTAATAAATATCTCCCTTGGTCTTCATGGCAATGGGGCCCTTGCAAGTGATCCTCTTGGCTTTTTGCTATCAGTGTATATGAACTGCCTTCCTTGGTCTATCCCAAGTAAAAGTTCACCATAGTAACTGCTCGGTTACATGGATATCTATGACAGAAAAAGGCACTTTTGAAACTTGAGGTTCCTTATTTTCATGACTTAACCTGTTGCTGAGCCTATGCATGACAACATGTAACTCTGTTGACCTTATTAAATCTCAGGATGCCTTTTCTTAGTTTTTTTTTTTTTATTTCAATTTTAATTTTATGTGTATGGACAGCTTG